CTCTCTCTCTCTCTCTCTCTCTCTCTCTCTCTCTCTCTCTCTCTCTCTCTCTCTCTCTCTCTCTCTCTCTCTCTCTCTCTCTCTCTCTCTCTCTCTCTCTCTCTCTCTCTCTCTCTCTCTCTCTCTCTCTCTCTCTCTCTCTCTCTCTCTCTCTCTCTCTCTCTCTCTCTCTCTCTCTCTCTCTCTCTCTCTCTCTCTCTCTCTCTCTCTCTCTCTCTCTCTCTCTCTCTCTCTCTCTCTCTCTCTCTCTCTCTCTCTCTCTCTCTCTCTCTCTCTCTCTCTCTCTCTCTCTCTCTCTCTCTCTCTCTCTCTCTCTCTCTCTCTCTCTCTCTCTCTCTCTCTCTCTCTCTCTCTCTCTCTCTCTCTCTCTCTCTCTCTCTCTCTCTCTCTCTCTCTCTCTCTCTCTCTCTCTCTCTCTCTCTCTCTCTCTCTCTCTCTCTCTCTCTCTCTCTCTCTCTCTCTCTCTCTCTCTCTCTCTCTCTCTCTCTCTCTCTCTCTCTCTCTCTCTCTCTCTCTCTCTCTCTCTCTCTCTCTCTCTCTCTCTCTCTCTCTCTTCTCACCCAACCCCCTGTCACTCTTTCTTTTTCTTTTTCTCTAACTTTTTTATTTTATAATCTTTGTTAATATTTTACTGTATAACAAAAAATAGGTAAAGCTAAAACGTACAGCAGTTCATAATTTTATTACCTGTAATATATATTTTTCGTTATAGAAATGATCTACTCAGTATTGAAAACGCGAATCCGGAGATACAAGAAACCGAAAGAATGCCGATTTACAACTATGTATCAATATGTCAAAATTCCCTCACTTGGCGGAGATTTCTGAATTTGAATAAGGTTTACGGCATGCAAATAGTAAGCAAGCAGGTTATTTGGTATTATATGCTCCTGCTAAACAAATACAAATTCGTACATCAACTCTGCGTAATATTGTTACATAAAATACCTGCTGTTATATGTAATATTCTGTTGTTCCTTAGCGGACGAAAACCTATGTAAGAAAAAAAAAATTTCATCGATTTCATCTACATATAATGAAGAATTCTCGCAAAAATACAGATTTTACAATTTACAGGCTACGAAAAGTATATGCAAAGATAAACAAATTTAACTCCGTGATATCGTACTTTTCATCACAACAATGGCGGTTCTGTAACGACGCTGTTATAAACCTCTGGGAACGCATGAATCCAGCTGATCGCGAGATTTTCAACTTTAACATAGATGATCTAGACTGGGAATCACATCTTAAACATATGATTCCTGGTATGCGCGTATACTTAATGAACGATCCACTGGATACTATAGAAAAAGGACGAGAGAAATATAGGAAGTGAGTATTGCTTCTGCGTGAATTTTTATTGTAGTTTTCATCTCGCAAACGTATGTATAATAAATTTTCTTTTTTCCATGCTAAAAATTGCTCATTATACACTAATAACCGTTTTTTTGATTTTGCTAATATGGTGTATTTTAAGCTTAATATTTCGCATAATATCATTATTTTGATTTATAAAATTTTCTTTGTTGTTAAGTTGGAGTTTTAATGGCAAAAATAAATCACGATAATAAAAGAAATGAAATGGTAAACAAATAAATGTTTGTTTTTACGTTTTATACATTGACCTTACATTCTGCATTCTCTGAAAAAAAAATCATTGTCGCATATTCCTTTTATACTCTTGCGTGTGTAATTGCTAATTATATACCTGAGAGAAACTTTCATCTTGTTTTTCATTACAGTTTCAAATGTAGATTTACACACTGAATTCTTAACAAACCAAAAGAAGTTTTATAAGAATGTATGTAAACTTTTAATAAACTTTTAAATAAAAAGTTAAGCTATTATTTCATTAAACATTATTTATACTATTTAATTGTAATAATTTTTCTCTTTCAACTCCTTCATATCGTACTTGATATCATATTGATTGCTATAACTTTGTATTTTTTCTATTTATTGCTCCCTCATAGAGGAAGCTTTTTATACACATGTGATAATACTAGTTGCTTATTTAGAAACTTAATGTATAATAATTACCACATATTATATATACAAACAAAGAAAAAGAGAAAAATAATAAATCAATAATAATCAATACATAAAAGAAAACTATATGCAATATTGTATTTTATTTTATTTTATTAAATTATTTTGCTAATAATTTATATTTTAAATGTGTAAAAAATACTAAATACCATGTTATGTGAATGTGAAAGATAGGCTATTATATATCAACAAACATTACAATACATTAACTTCGAGATCAGAATAGATTTCTGTTTAATATTACATTATGCAATATAAAATTCAAACAAAACACTCCCCATTTAAAAGAATGTACATTTATAACGTTATTTAGCATATTTTTTTTTTTTTTACCAAAAAAATATCACCTGATCTTTTTATAAAATGACGTGACCTATTCATGGATTTGCGATATTATGTACCAGATTGATGTTGAAGCAATTTATAAATTTACATAATTCAATAGAAATGTAAAAAAATTCTCTATAAAAAAATTGTATTTAATGATTAAAAATCAAAAACAATCGGTAACAATCGAATATATTATACAATATTAATAATAATAAATCAATGAAACATTTTAACTTTCTACGAAGTTTGGCATTTTTCAGATATCAGCGTTTATTATTTATTTTGTAATATTTATACATATATACAGAAAATTATGT